CAGAGGAAGGCCCTGAGGTACCTCCAGCTCTCTCCTCCCTGTGACAGCCAGATAGAAGTCACATGTTTGGAAGGCAAAGCTGTAAGATGGAGGCAGACTGTCCCCCTCACTCGTCACTTGAGGGAGATGCCCCAGAGAACGAGGCCCACAGTGGACTTAGCATGCACAAGCAATAAACTTGGGTTGTGTTCACCCACGGAGATTTCAGGGTTGATTGGTCATCACAGCAGAGCTTAGACAATTCTGACTACAGAAATTCAACAGTTTCTAGAAGGTAGTAACCGCTTCTCATGGAGCTTCTTTGAGAATCAATGGGCAGGGCTGAGATCACCATCTAATAAAACACCTAAGTCTAGATATGGCTTATAAAGGGAAAGGCAAAAAGTCATCTTGATTTATTTAAAAAATCAATTTATGCATATTAAGCATGTACAGACCATATATCAACAGCTACACAGCTCAGGGACTACCCAGTGTGATTGCATCTTGCTGACTAAGGAACAGACAGACCATGCTCCTGTAAAAAGATTATTACTTCCATAAAGCAGACCATATACGTTAGGTTCAAAATGAATGAGGAGAGTAATCTGGTTGGAAGGGATTGAATCTGTAATTTTCCCTCACCCCATTTCTGCCTTTTATCTAAATGGCATATCATGCCATAGTTTAAGCTACTGTGTGACAAAGAAAGGATGACACTCTCACTGTAGCTGCCACCACCTGCCACTACAGCTCAGTTCTAGAAAGCATTAGAGATCCAGGTTCTCACCTCAGCTCTGGTGGGAGCAATTGCATGAATGTGACCTATGTTTAGAATTTCTCTTACTCTCTATTGGCCCTTGATAAAGTGGCTCCAGTGATGACCTTAACACAAGGTCATGGCAAGACATAGGAGCACAGTGTATACAAAGACCCTAGCAATGAGTTCACTATATTTTAGCACATAATAAATGCTGGTTTCATTTCTTCATTCCCTTTTTCTTAATCTCACCTCCCTCCTCTTAGCCCTCCCCTGTATTCCCTTCCATGTCTTGTTTGTTTGCTTAAATTGAAAAGCAAAGGGGATGAATGCTAGATGATTCTCAAAACACCTCTCAGTATGAAATATACATGCCCTTGAAGTTTGCTTATTACTGAGAATGTGGAATTGACATCTTGCTGCAAGAATCAAAAAATGCTACCCCACACCACAACAGTTGAGCCTGGGGGGTAGAGCATGGGCATTAAAACTGAAGAAGCAATGACAGAAGGAATGACAAAGGATGCAGTGACCTGTGAGCCCCCACAGCTAAATGAAGTTAAAAAAAAAAAAAATTAGAGTCTCACAGAGTCACTGTTGTCTATAGCTTCCTAGATTTTAATTAATTCAGATAAATTTAAAACAAATTCAACACAGGGGGTACATCACTTTGCTCCCTGGGATGCAAAAGATTCTGAAGTTTATATATTAACAGAAGCTTCATGTTCCTCTGGGCTCCTAAGAGAATATCTTCCAAGGGTGGCCAATAAAGAAAATGGAAAGACATTTTCAAATACTTTCTTATGCCTATAAGCCTGTCTCAGCCAACAAGCCAATACCCAGTAAGAACAAACACCTCATACTGTAATTCCTCAAGAAGGTACTGGCCACACTGTTTCCTGATATGTTCCTGATTACCTCTGAGTTATGAATTTATTTCACCACCTGACTATGGCCCCAAACTTGCCCTTGGATTTGATAATGGTTAATGATTTTTTGGTTATTCTCCCTTTATCTACGCGGGATTCTCAGACTGCATTGACTATAGGGATCCCAGATAACATACCAGTCCCATTCTACGCAGACAATGGCACCAGCCAGGGCAATTAGGATTCAGGAAAGCGTTGCAGAGTCAATTTTTTTTTTTTTTTTAAATGGCTAAGTACCAGCATATCAAAGAAAGAGATATGAAAGTCTCCCCCTTTATGATCAACCCAAACTCCAAAGTAACTACCAGGGCAAAAATTCATTTGGAAAGAAATTTAAGTTCACATGAGTTAGAGAAATGAGCATCCTTATCCCATCTGAGTGTCAGAGTTGTAAACAAACACCTAATGAGCCAATGAGTTATGGAAGTATATATATATATATTTTTTTTTTCTTAATGATTTTATTTATTTGTCAGAGAGATAGAGTACAGGCAGGCAGAGTGGCAAGTAGAGGCAGAGGGAGAAGCAGGCTCCCTGCGGAGCAAGGAGACCGACGTGGGACTTGATCCCAAGACCCTGGGATCAGGACCTGTGCTGAAGGCAGCTGCTTAACCAACTGAGCCACCCAGGCATCCCTGGAAGTATATTTTTAAGGCAATTTGGAATCATTTCTCTCTCTCTTATCCCTGATTCTTGTATCTTCTAAAGTGCTGTGTTCCAGTTGCCAAGGAGAGGTGTTTATATAAAAGGTGATGTTTTCTCCTGCAGATTCTAGGGAATTAGGTCCAATAGAAAAAAAAAAAAAAATCAAAGTTTGAGAGAAGCAGCAGATAAAACACTACCCAATCTGGCCTCCCTTACCTCCAGCAATCCCACATAAACTCTGGGCTTTTGCCTGAATACCAAAGAAGGATATTTCAATTTCAGCACTATGTTAGTTGAATTACACTGACCTCTGTCTCTGCTTTTGCTCTCCATTTATACATCTACATTACGACGAAGATTTTGCCTCAAGCTGACTTCTGGCCTCTATGTGCAAATGACCATGTTCCAAATTCTTCTTCCTTTTCCATGTCTTTCTAATTCCCTCCCCAGCAGAACTGTAGTCTATTCCTTTCAGATTTTATCATATTCTTTTCAAATCTAGTTTTTTTTTTTTTTTTAATTCTAACTGTTTTCTGTTTGGTTATTTATAATGTCTGTATCCTCTAAAAGCAAGCTGAGAATAGCCGGGACTACCTTCCGGATCCTTACGCCCCTCCCAGGGCCTCGTCCACCACGGTATCACCCAGTACTCTGTAAACGTGTGTTGAATTGAATTTGAAAATAAAAAAAGGGAAACATGTCACATGTTTTCTCCCTGTTCATATTTTTGTTAGGGAAATGAGTGATATGAGACAATGTAAATATGCCATGTGCCAAGGCCAAAAAAAGAGATTTAAGGCAACCAATCACATATCCAAAATTCTTATGGCACAATTTAATGACCTCTACTAGATAAGACCCAGTAAAGGAACGAGAAGCAACTCAACTCCTTTCGCAATGTATTGGTTCTCCAGATCATACATGCTCCTAATTGCTCTGTATATAAAACCCTACCCTGTTACACTCTTTCAGCCAAAAACCCTAACCAGTAGTAGCAGAGTGCTTCCTCAACACTTAACAATACAACCAGAAAGTGCAGAAAGCTCTTTTATTTTGGGGCAAGGGGGGAGGGGTCGTGGCCAGGTTGGATGGTATTCCCTTGAGACATAAATCCCCCCAAAATATGTAAACAGTTTAACTGCTTTCCTAGTAAAACACTTAGTTGACTTTGGTTACACCTGTTAATCTGATGGCATAGGGCTGTGCTACTCCGCGTGCTGGAGACCAGCAGTGTCAGCATTGCCTGGAAGCTTTTTAGAAACGCAGACTCTCAGACCTCACCCCAGATCTAATGAATCAGAGTTTGCATTTTAACATCCCCCGAAGTGACTCCAATGTACATAGTATTTTAAGAAGCATGGACATCTGATACTCTAGCAGCAATATTTCACTCGCATCCTAGTCGGCTCTTTGCTCTAAGCCATGATTTCATTGTAAAAGTAAAATATTGGCTTCTCACAGCCTCTTCTTCTCTACTCCTTACTCTTTTCTAGACACCTGTTTCCTTTAATATGTAGTATAAACACACACACACACACACACACACACACAAAGATTGTTATGCTCTCAACTGTGCACATTCCTTTCATATACATCATTCCATTTCATCCCTCTGATACCTCTGTAAACACCATTATGCATAATTTGTCAAATGTCATCTAGGTAACAAATGTCCGAGAATCTGCATGCCCAATGGTGTAAACATGCTTCCCCTGTAACCAGTGAATTCTGTACCCTCAGAATTCTCTATGTTATAAATCATAATTTAAAAAAAAAGATTGAATCCAAATATTTAAGAGGGGAAGATGGATATTTAAAGTAGTTCACAGAGTTTGGAAAGACTTGTATCCAATGAGCTTAGGGGAAACAGACAAAAAGGAGGATATTCAGTTCCTTCTTCCTCCTATTATCCCCACAATCCCCCACCAAAGTCCATACAGCCAAGGACTTAAAAGGCCAGGTGGATCTTACCCTCGAGCCTTTTGCCCTTGCCACTCCCATAACCCAGTTTATCATATACAGAGACACTAAACATGCACACTCTGATGAAAGCTTTTATAGCTGCCATAACCTAATGGATTTGCTGTCAGTTTCTTGAAACTGTGCCTGTGGAAGAGAAAAAAATCCAATCCTTGCTTACAAGCAATGGAGTTTGCAATGAACCCAAACCAACTTGGACATGTCTATCCTATATAGCAGGACTTTCCAAGCAACCTTACTCATTCGTGTGACCTGAACTTTCCAGCAATGAATGAAACAACCTAAGGCAATAGAAATAAAGAAACATTTACTATAGTTTCATTAAGAAGTTGTTTGTTGTGTTAGGATATAATACAGTAAATTATCAACCATATTCAAAACCAGGTGGATTTTCAAAAATCTTTAATCTAAACCTATGTCATATACAGAGGTAAGTATCTGTACATAATGCAAAATTATGAACTGGATGTTAGCCTTTATCAAAATGCTTGAACACTGTCATTTAGGAATGTATTTAGCATCCTTTTTATAAAAGCCTCTTGATTATTACAAAATGGAAATCACACTGGAAGTCAGAAGTCTAAAATTTAACATCACATAAGTAGAATGTTAGAATACGAGGAATTTTAGAAAGATCATGTAGACCTAGCCTTCATTTCCAATGTATAGATTCACAAAGAGAAGCCCAAAGAGGCCACACAACTTACCACAAGTTCCACTGTTGTCTGTCACTGACTAGCTGAGTAACTCTGGGCAACTCCCCTGTCTCTTGGCTTCAGTTTCCTGATCTGCAAAATGAGGTGATCGGACTAGTTGACGTAAGATTCCAGATAGCCTGAAAATGCCATTATTCTACAAGACTAAGAGCCACATCCTAGACTAGCCCCCCTCCAAAAGCAACACACAAGAAGATGAAAAGATATTTCAATGGCCCTGGGGGTCCTGGTGTTCCACTTTGTTGATATCAGATCTCAACTTGGGACTTTAGAACCAAATGGGTTGCTTGTGCCTACCACCAATGGGCAATCCGGGAGAGAACAGCTTTGGGCACATCCTTTACCAGAGAAGTGGTGAAAATGAGTATCTTTTCCTCCCTTTCGGAGGATTGAGTGACTTCCTCTGTCTGGGCTCTGCCTCAAAGATTTCTCCTCAAGGTTCACTGGAGTCCTGGAAGTCCAGCCCTTGTCCTAACCCTAGACAAAGATGCATTTCCCCCTAGAAGACTCCCCATTTGGACAAGTCATTCAAAATCAACCTTAAAAGAGACTCCAGGCTCCAGGGAGCTGCACATTTTGGCATTGTTTAATCAGCTGTCTGGCTTTGGTCTGTAGTGAAACCTTTCCATTTTACTGTAATTTTTAAAAAGATTTTATTCTTAAGTAATCTCTAAACCCAATGTGGGACTCAAACTCAAAACTTCTGACTGAGCTACCCGGGTGCCCCTCATTTTATTACAATTTTATTTTGTTAATAAACAAAGAGTTGGTATGCTTATTTTTAAAAAGTGAATTAAATCTTTGAATACAGGACCTGTTTTTAATCACTGGCCATGCTTTAGCTACATATATTTATCTTCCTTCCCTTATTCTTATATTGGGTTGTATTGTTGAAATGGCTTCTTTTTATTTTTTTAGGTGACCTTCCATCTTTCCCTTTTTCTTCTTTTCAATATAACTATTTTCTAATGAGCAATCACAAAGTCAGGCGATGGTTTAGGCTTTTAGAAGGGTATTTAAATATAAGGACTCCATGAGGCAGAACCCAGATACTGATTATGTATGCAAAAATGGGCACTGCTAATATCCCTACCAATTAAGTCAATCATTAATCCAGATTTTAATTTATGGGCTCATTTTAATGATATACACAAGTGAACCTGGAACACTATGTCTTAATAGCAGTAAGATATTTAAGGAAAGCTGGTACTTATATCTAAATCATTCTATACAAAATGTGGTCAACCAGGAGAAAAAGAATACTATAAACTATGCCTTATCCATAAATAATAATTATGTTCTTATTAGTATCATTATGATCATCTATTATTTATATTTCACTTATTATATGTCATGCATTCTCCCCAAACACATTACATGGTTACAAAGTTCCAACCTTACAGAAATACTGCAGTGTTAACCCTGAAAAAGGACATGTGGAGATGGGAGGGAGCCAAACAGTGGCCTCCAACAAGGATTATCTTGTGGAAAAAGAATGATTGTAAACTTATTAACATGGCTATATTGGCAAAACCAAAATCGGAAGGTATAGGGAAACCAAGTTTGGCTCAGCTCCCATCTACACAAACTGAGCAGCAGATACACTTTCCTTAGGGAGTGTGTTTATCCCTAAAGGTACTGAGCAACAGGGTTTTGTGACCAGCTCTCTAGAGGATTCTGGCAGTCAAGAAAGTAAAGATCCACCAACTCTAGAATTCTGGATAAAAGTACACTGTGAGTGTATGAACATCAAGAGGAGAGCTGTACAAATAAATGAACGAATCAAAACAAAGATGAATAATCTTAGAGCACGACACTTAGTGTCTGTCCTATAGCACTCATTATGCTCTACCTTGTGTGAAATCTATGTGTATCCTTTTGTTTTCATTCCTAGTAGACAGTAAGGTCACTGAATCATGACTTACCACATCCTAAATATTAACCTTGGGAAAAGTGCTCAATTTCCTGTCCTGTAATAATGGAATCTATCACACAGTATTGTCACAAAGAAAACATTATTGTATATGTAAAGGATTTAGCCTGATGCTTAGGAAGCAAAAAATAAAATTAATAGAGCTCTTAGTTATTGTTGCTACTATTATTTACTACCATTATTATTGTGATTATTACTGTGCTGTAGAATTCCTCAGGCTCAGAACCTTGATTTTATAGTCCAGTAAGTACCAATCAACAGCCATTCTGATATTTCAATAGATCAATTAAAGCAACAAGATTGTACCTGCCAACCTGTCAGTCTATATTATCCAGGGAGAAGGAAACAAACCCAAACCACTCAAGACTTCATCAAAGAAGCATCTCAATAAAATGTTTCCAGCATGCTTCTCTCGTCAATAAAAAGAGAATATAGGGTGAGGAAAAGAAAAAAAAAAGAAATATTCTATTCCAGTCCATTAAAAAGTATTACTCTTTGATGCTTGTTGTATGCATGACAAATGGACATACATTTTTCTCTTTGTGTAGTGAGCAAACTGCTATATACCTTTGAAGTTTATTAACATTGTCTCCAATGTTTTTATGAAATCAGTGTCAAATTCACCAGAATGCAACTTCCGGAACAGCAGGCAGCAAGGTGGGCTTTTAAATTGCATGCGTTCAAACTGGTTTAAAAAAGGCAAATTTCCATCCTGTATTTTACACCAATATTGTTCAAGCAATTTTACCAGGGGGTCTCTTGATTTTAAAGAGTATCTTAGACCCACCACAAACTAAGGCCCTTTACATGTAGATCATTGGCTAAGAAAAGCCTTCATTTTTCAAGGAAGTCCTGAAGTACCTTCCTTGAGTCTGAAAAGTAGTTAGAAAACCGGCCTTCATATCCAAACACCTTATATTATTAATGAAAAAACCGAGCCCCCCCCAAAGGGAAACTGATTTGATAAACTGACTTGGTCATGTTTCACAATAAGCTAGTGGCAAAACTTAGAACCTGTGACTCATTCATTCATTCCTTTCTTGTTTATTGAGAGCTTTCCTTGAGTCCGTCCACTCTGTGGTGGGCTTCCTATATTTATCATGCTTATTATTTTTGAAATTCATTCAATTTCCATTTGGCAATTATTCACTTAATATCTATTATGTGCAGGCACTACATTTGGTATAGTGTGGTGAAGTATGACAGCTGTTACCCGTCACAAGCATTTAAAGAATAGTTGGGGATGTTCTGAGTACAGAGTTACAATAATTGGTAGCATGTAGTTATCACATTAAAAAGGAAGAGAATCTGAGGAGTTAATTTTGTAATTTCCTAAGCTATCTATAAAAAAAAAAATCTCTGTCTAGTAACCAATCATCAAATTTGTTTTCATCATGTAGTGTGTACAAAGAACTAGGAATGTGATTAGAAAAATCCAACACCAGCTAAAAGTTTATAATCTAAGAAGCTGAGATGTACAAACAAGACATTTGTTTTACAACATCAGGACAATATTTACGTGCTGAGTGTAATGTAGCAATTTGTATGTTAGAGAGATAAATCTCAGTGTGGACTGAATTTAAGAACCTGAGTGAACTTCAAAGAAGAGGTAGAATTTGACCTTGAAGCATTTATTACTATGTATATTGTACTAGAATCATTGGCATATTCCACTGCACCTGGATTTCTTGACATACATTCATTGGGATAACTACATAAATAGACTTTTTCTCCAATTAATAGCTCATGAACAACTAGCACAAAATTACATTATAATTTCAATAGCCCCTGAAAGAGTCATTTAGCAGTTGAGCAGTTCATTGTCAACTGCTTTGTTTGTGACAATCCTGATTATTCACCTGTTAACTCAGGAATTTCAGAACTGACCAGATCTTCATCAATCTTGGCATATCCTGACACCACCTAAGTCTCTAAGAACTCAATTCGGCCTTTTCCACAGTGCCTGGACTTAATTCTCACCCAAGTCAGAGTGTCCTCTTCCTCCTCTGAACAACGTGGTGGTCTGTATGTTTCACATGAAAAATGCTTTAATTTTTTTTTAACCTGCTATTTACATATGCCACTACATTGTTTATAAATGAATACCTTTTTTATCATCTACACTAGAAACTCAAGACAATAAAAGGCATAGCTTATACCTAAATACAGTGTTCTGCTAAAGAGGCAGTTAATAGTTGCTGTTGTAATTTCATTGCAAAAGAGAGGCCCCCCATGTGTTACAGATATACTAGTCAATGAGTAGGAGTTGACAGCCTACAACTTGTTATTTCTGATGCTTTATTCATTTAATCCTCAATTCTAGGAGAAGAAAGAAAGAAAGAAAGAAAGAAAGAAAGAAAGAAAGAAAGAAAGAAAGAAAGAAAGGAAGGAAGGAAGGAAGGAAGGAAGGAAGGAAGGAAGAAAAAAGAATGCAAAGCACAACTAACAGTAATACGATACCCATATTCTACTCCCAAGTATGCCACTAATTAGCTGTGCCATTTTGGATTTGGGTGTCAATCTATTATTCAGTCTACGTCTCCTTAATCCAACGGAATTGGCTGAAATCCTGCAAAAGATTCATTCTTCTGGGTCTTTATATATTACAAGAGTCAGCCAGGAACAAAATAAGAAAATTACTTTGTTTGGATTGTGTAATGGCAATATGAGGGTTGGAGGGAAGCCAACCATTCTTGAGCATTATTGCTCCAAAATGTTTAGTTTTGGTATTGTAGCTCCTGGTAAGAAATCCACTCTACAAAGCAACATCTCACTCTCTCTTTCTCTCTCTCCCTCTCTTTTTCTCCCCGACTCTCAAAACTGAAAACGAAGTTTCACCAATCAAACCTTGCAACATGTGGTACACTCTAACTTTCCTGTTCTGTCTTATCCTACAATACCCCATCCCATCCTATTATTCTAGCCCATCCCATTTCTATCTATTTCATTACATAAAACTGTAGATTTGTTGAACAATCAAATTGATTTTGTCCTGTCACCTTCTCTGGCTGCATGAGTTCGGTCACATTGTTAATTTATTCTAAGGATTACTTTCCCCATTTGTAGAATATGGATAATAATGTTCTATCTTTAGAGGGTTGTTTTCGGTATTAAACAAGGTACTATAGCTAGCACTGTG